ACCAAAATATCTTAATATTCAGATTCTGATTGAGATCAAATGGGTATAACTGCTTTTTCTTTGAATATAATTCACAAAGCATGGAAAATCCTAAAAGAGTAACAACCACAGCTGTTGAAACACACATTTCATGAGGGATTCACTCAATTTCAAATATCATCCAAACAGCGATGATGCCTTACAAGAGCTGCAGGAGGCAAATGTGCACTCTAGATTTAAAAAAAAGCATAGAAGTTGCTGATTTACAAAGATTCCTGCTGTAATTACATGAATCAAGTGGTTGTAATTGTCATGCTGCATATATAATCTGCACAGCCCTGTCACATATGCATCCACAGATACAGAGAGTATTATGTTTGGATTTTTTTCTCTTTTTTTAGAACAAAAAATTTAATAAAATAAAAGCAACTGGGACATTTACTACGCTTCAAGCAGCACAGGCAGGTTTATTTTAAGCAGCTGAACAGTAGTTAGTACTCTAGACACAGAAATCTGTGTGTGTGTGTGTGTGTGTGTGTGTGTGTGTGTGTGTGTGTGTGTGTGTGTGTGTGTGTGTGTGTGTGTGTGTGTGTGTGTGCCTACATCCACACTAACTGGAACACTGGCAGTTGGAGAAATGTGAAAGTGTAGCTCTAATGACCTGGTATTTAAAGTCGGTGGGAAATGGTGACAGGAGTATGCTGCACACAGACCAAAATACATCTTCAGGGAAGGATATTGTGTGAAAATGTTTTAGATTTTGAATAGAGCCCTGGGTTACATCATGTCAGCCTCCCCTGTTTAATTATGAAATTATTCCACTCTGTACCCCATAATTTACTTTCTTTGTGGGGCTCCACACAAACTGTCGGAATAAAGAATAAATAGTACACAGCAGGAATAAGTACCAAACAGGAGAAATATATGCAATCAAGAGAGATATATACAAAACAAGAAAAAGGCACACATTGGAGATCAACTTTCAAAGTGCGTGTGTGAGTGGTCTGAGTGATGGGAGTTACGCAGACCATGGATCAGATTGGTGAGATGAGGGGGCAGGGGTGAGGGTGGAGGCACAGTGTTTGTTGACAGTGGGAATGGCCCAGGGGAAGAAGTTTTTTGTGAGCCTGGAGGTGTAGGACCTGATTGCCCTAAGGCACTGACCAGAGGGGCAGTGCCTCAGGGTGTCCTGCACCTCACCCTCTAATGAGGATCTGACGATGTCCTCCAGGGGTGGCAGACAGCAGCCAATGATTTTTTGGGCAGTGTTAAATTACCCTCCTGTTCTTAGTAGTGGCCCCTGTGTACTAAACACCCAGGCACTAGGAGAGCACGCTCTCCACTGAGGAGCAGCAGAAGGCCAGCAGCAGCTTCAAGGTTATTCTTCCTCAGAACACTGCTGGGCCTTCTTTACCAGGGCATTAATGGTGTGGATCCAGTTGATGTCAGCGGAGATGTGGGCGCCCAGAAACCTGATATTGAAGACAGATTCCACCCATTCCCCATTTATAATTAGAAAGGAGTGGACCTGTCTATGCCTCCTGAAGGCCATTATGAGTTCTTTTGTTTAAAGGACTTACCTGCAAACACAAAAGTTTAAGTTGTATCTACAAGCTTTAACATGATACTAATTTAAGACTTACATGGTAAATTCACACCGTGTCTTATCAGAGTGCCAATTTGTACAGCATTCTATCCTCTTGTGAATGATCTCTTCACTTGTCTTTACAAATCTTAATGATATATGCACACACAGTCCTGTGATAAAACGTACACACAGTTCTTTGAAAAACTAAGTACTCCATGATTGTAGAACCACCGTTGCAGCAATAACTTGAAGTGATTGCTTTCCACATTGTTGTGGAAGTATTTTGGATCACTCTTGAGTGGATTCATTTATGCACAGCTCTCTTAAGGTATTTTGGTCAGATTGAGGTCTGGACTTTAACTGGGCCACTGCAACACCTTCATTCTGTTCTCTTGCAAACATCATGCTGTGCATCGTGACCAAACATCTCCACTTTGGTCTTGTCTGTACAAAGGACATTTTTCCAGAAGACTTCTTTTTAGAGAGAAGAACGTTTTTCCTGACAACGCTTCCAAACAAGCCATCCTTGTTCAGGCTTCTTCTAACTGCAAATGTGTAATGAAGTGATCCTTACATAGCACTTTTCTGCTCTAATTAAGCACTTATTATTTATTTTACTGCAGCTGCTTATGCATACATTTTTTGTACAGCTGGTTGAGGATGATGCAGGTATTTATGTCTATCAGTGGGTGGGAGGCTCGTATTGTTACATCATTTTTATTTGGTAGATCCAGTTTATCCATAAGATCTTGATATAAGGGCTTCTAACAACATATGTGCATGACCCCATTTGAACCTAGATGTGACATATTTGTTTTCATTTTCCCAGTATATGGTTTTTGGTTTTTTTTTATTAGCATTCCGGGAAACCAGTCAAATGTAAAGTCGGCTGAATGAAAAATTGTCATATAATGAATAGATATTATGTAAAACTTTTGTGTGCAGTGTTTCCCCACCCAGCAGTGACTATAAGTTGACTTAATGATTTCATTTGCTATTGCATAACTGGATAAGAGATCACTAAGAACATGGCCCCAAATCTTGATTGCTTACATAACTAATCCAAAGCAGCATTGTCTCTGGTCTGTTTATTCTTTCTCGCTTGTTTTCACGCTCTTGCCGAAATGTTAATCTTTGCCTCAGTTCCAACACGGTGCCTCCAGAGAGCCTCTGAAGCTGCCAAGACACCAAGTGTAATTTCTCCATCTTCAGTCCCACACCGCTAAAGCGTAGGAGACTTCCTTTCCTGCCAATGAGAAGGTGGGCGAGCAGCAGACATGAAAAAGAGGCAAGGAGAAGAAAAAACTGTTTTGGTCGTTCACCGCAGTCCTTGCCTTTTATCTCTGTCCCTGGACCCAATAGCATACACAGAGGCGTGGGCGATGTGGAGGCCCGGGCCCAAGCCAAAGCCCCAGGCCACTCTGCATAAAAAGAGAGGGAAGGAGGGCATACAAGGCAGTGAACAGTTGGCAATGATTACATAATGTGAGCAATCGACTGTTCATAAACCGACTGATTAAACCAGAGGTTTCTCTTAATCTGACTTGTCCGTCATTATTAGAGTCACAAAGTCAGTGGTAGTTGGCTTGTTAGTATCATCGCTGGACACTTTCAGGGACCACTGGCCAAGTAATTTATCAGTGATACTACTGGGTGCACTAGCATTTACTACAGTAGTTAGGCCAAGCAGTTTTTATAGGGATGACAAAGATGAGACCACTGCTTATTATTCCTTTATTTATCCAGGTAAAAAAAAATCTCATTGAGATTAAAAATCTCATTTCCAAGAGAGACCTGGCATCACTTATATTGCTATGACACAAAAACTGATGTTTTTGTTCTGCTTGAAAAATTGTGGGCTTGATCATCAGTTTTTTTTGTCAGTTGCTCTCATGATTAGATTTGATTTTATAGTGCAGATTCACACTTTAAAGCATGTTACAGTATTGCAGTGTAAAGACACCACAGTATTAAAGCAAAAACCCCTACAATTAAACAATCCCAGGCAATAAACCACTTGGCGATCGCTGGACTGGACATCTCTCAGAGGCTGTTTGTCCAAAGACCTGCCTAATGTCTTTTTTGATATTGTCTGGTTTAAATAACATTTGTTCTGAATACATGCCATGAGTTTAACAAAGTAGTAGAAGAGTTCAGAAATGTATTAGCAATGCAGATCTCTGCTTGGATATCACAGAAACTGAATAAAATCTGAACTTGGACACAAGGAAATCAGCATGATGCCAAGTCTTAGCATCTTTTTCTTTGTTTTTGATGGTGACACAACTACACCTTTGACTCATTTTCAGTTTACATCCTTACACACACTGTTATGCATTCACTGAAGGATTAATGGGGGGGTTTTCCAAACATGTGTCCATGATTATGGCCTTTTGTATTTCGTCTGCATTTCACTTTATGGCAAACTTATCTGGACCTCAGGTAAACTGCAGGGTTTTGGTTTTTACATAGGTGATGCAGAATACAGTAGTTTGATAAAAAGAGAACAATGTCTTACAGAAATGTCCTTGAGCTAAGAGTCTCTGGCAAACTCTAGAGGATGCTGTTGCATGGATGCTGTTGCACGACCAACCTCTGTCCTTAGATCAGTGACTCTCTATTTCCAAAAATAAGATAGTAAGTGATTAGACCACACACAGTACACACAACCGGGAGGAAACAGAGGGTAGGACATTACCACTTCCACTTTTTATTTAACAAAAGAGTACCTGTTTCAATTCATGCTGACATTGCTTAGTACTGCTTTTTTCTTCTTCTTTTTTAAATTCTTGTGATTGTTTACCCTTTCAATTTTCCCGGTGCCTGAGGCAAATACATAAACAACTGTATAACACACATAAGGAAGAAAACAGTGAGTTTGAAATCACAACAACTTTAAAGTGGAAATATAATACAGCACATACCCATTAAGCAGTAACCTTCAAGGTAACTTCCGGGATTGCTCCCTAAAGCTTCCCTGCTGGTCCTCTAACGTTTCCACAAACGTGACCTTGGTTTACCAAAGTGGTTTGCGCCACTATAGTGTAACTACTGTAAGTATAGGACCACTGCAGTGTAACTATAGTGCAACTATTTTATATAAAAATAATGTAACTACATGATGTAACTATAATGTCACTATCGTACAACTTTTGTTACTTAAGCAATAGTTACACTATAGCGCCACTATAACCATATTGTAACCATAGTGTAGCTATAGCTATAGTGGTACAACGCCAGTGGGTTACTCGTATCACCGACTGTGAAGAAAATAATACATTTAAGGATGTTTTCGCACTCTCTTGGTAAATGTAAGTCTTATCTTAACTTCTAAAGTTTGAATGCAGTGTTTTGTTTTGTTTTACAGCAGCTGCCGCTGGGTGGTGCTGTTGCTCCTCGGTGTGCAGCTGCTGTTCGGAAGGTGGAGGTGCTGCTGCACCTCCTTCATTGTCTGAGTGAATTCAGCAGGAGTGGATCCGTCGCTCGGTTCAATGTAATCCCGTCTCTCCCCGGCTCACTCACTCAGTCGTCCGCCATGGCGACCGCAGGAAGCGTCCTGATCGCTGCGAGCTGTGTCTAAAACTCATCTGGGATTCATTTTCCCCCAATTTTTTCCGGACGTGGATGTAGTCTTCCCCTTCAGCTGGGAAATACTTTCGTGTGGACAAGCCCGCATTTCGAGACACGGGGGTAAGAATCGTGCAGCCCGAGTCCTCTCTCTCACTGTGCTCTTTAAGGGAAGTGATTCAACTTGTTTGAGGAGATTAGGGTTAAGTCTTGGGAGTATCTTTCCCGTGTTGTTTCGTGATGCTGGATTTCGAAGGTGGGGAATAACTATCACTCCGTGTGAAAAATCCTTCTATGTTGCTAGGGACTGTCCTTTCTGTCCCTGCAGTGTGGCTTGCATTGCACAGATATACCTTAGCAGTATGTGCAGACGCCGCAGTCGTTGGGGGTTCCGTTTCTCTGAGACGATCCATGCACGCTCTGTGACATTTAAAAGATTGCAAAGATCAAACAGTGCCGGGGTGTGTGCATTTAGCAGTTTCCAGAGGCTGTCCAGGTGGGTCCGAGCAATGCGTTAATGTCACATGTACTGTACTGGCTGATAATGTCCCGAGGATTACAGCAGCCTGCTCTATTAACCTACATTATATTTATGGTGTGACCACACTTCAGACTCCATGAGCTGAGTCTACAGTGACTGTAGCATTCGAGTCATTGAGACTCTTTTGCATATCCCTTAGTTACACGTATCCTGTTGGTTGTCATTCCTTTCACTTAATGGACATGTCACATTGCCAGCAGTACAGTAAGAACTTAAAGCCTTTCAGGCAATGCCAGCCACACCCATGTATCAGTGTCGATTGCGAAACACAGAAGAAATTGAGCTCTGTTTTTTTGTTATGCAGCTTCTCTCAGGTAGACAGCCTCTGGCCATTCAGCTGTCATTAAAAGATTCCAGCTGTGCAGTTGTGGACTTCATCTAGGGGCCCCTGCGTGCCTCTGCGCACAGAGGAGCCACTGTTACAACGCTGGACTCTCAATAAGCCAGCAGTCACAGCTAAACATTACAGGCTTGTGTGGAATTTCAAGCAAAGAAGTTCAAAGGCAGGGAGGTTTACCCTGAGAAACACTCAGGGGTCTGCAAATGTCCCTTTTGGCATTGTATGCTGGACGAGTACGCTTTGTGTCACTTTCTAGCCCTGGGAACAAGGCCATCTGTACTACTGCCTGTTTTTGTGTTTGTTTGGTCCTGTGTTACCTATTCAGAGAGGCGCACAGACCCGGAGTCATGACTGGTTGATTCATGATGCTTGGTGCAGGGGAGGGTACGTGCTGACTGAAATAATCAGAGTCTACTCTTTCACTGCCCTCTGTTTCACTGGTGCCTTGTTTGAAGAGTGTCCGGTTACGTGGCGTGCATGTGCAGGTCATGCAAGCCATGGATTTACAGAGTTGACATAATACGCTTGCCAATAATCAAGAGCCAGGGCCACCGAGCGGTGACGGCCACTCGGATCAAGTGTCAAAAAGAACTGGGCTTGATTTGGGGAAAATATGCTCGTTTCCATTCAGACTGCCCCGGTGGCAGCTTTTAGGTCTGTTTTTGATCAGCCCAAGGGAGCGTGCACTTTAACTGGAATACAGCAACATCTCTCACCCACTGCGCTGTGATGACAGTGTACAGGCAGGTGAAAATGATACAACATGGTCCCCAAAGTCTTATAACAGAGAACTCAAAGATGAACTTTCCTGATTAATTGCATTACAAAGTGTCCTTTACTTTTTTAGCCTTTTACCACAATACATCTGGACAGAATGGCCTTGACAGCCTTAACAATCACTTGACAGAAAATTGGTTTCCTATTCAATCAGTCATTCCTCAAGTAAAACTGCCTTTTTCCGGTTTTCTTGTTTCCTTTCTCTTTCTTGTAAATAATATCTGTTTATCTTTGGTCGCTTGTCACAGTTTTCTATCACCCAGCCGACTGATTTTTTAATCAGTCAGCAATCATCAATTAAAAAAATTAAATTACAGTCAGCAGACCTACTAGCCATCGATCCCTACACCATCATCGCACAGAATTTACAGTGTCCACTGTCCTCGGGCTATATTCTCCACACACTCTACTGGATTACATTATCCACTCCTTTCAAATGCCTTATTCAGCTCTCAGCTTAAACTTGGCACCAGTCGTTCACCTCTGCGGCGGCTGAACAACTGCCCAGTGGCCTCGGTGCTCTGACGAACCACTCAGTGAGGTCTCGGGATGACATCAGCCTTCTGGAATGTGTAATGAAGAGAGAATTAAGCAGGACAGCAGGGCCTAAGGGGATCTGGCTGTAGATACATGGTGGCGGGGTGGGGATTGGGGGGGGGATAGTGGCCTGATCAAGTGTCAACCCGAAATGAATCCATGACTTTGTCCAAAACATTCAGCCATCTGGGAGAGTCATAGACTGAGTGATACTGCAGATTTTCCCACATTCCAGATGCACCTCAGCTCTTTCTGGTTTTGGATGTAAACCTCCAGCACTGGATGCTTTGTAGCGATGGTACCCATCATTTATATTTGTCATGTTAGTTACTTTCTGTGGCCTGTTGAAGCCATTCATCTATTAGTTATGGATTGGAAAGAGCCTGGTTGCACGAATTGGATGTTTTCCCTTTGGCATCATGGGCTTCTTCCCGCAGCCAAAAGGCATTCGTGTTATGTTAATTGGTGGATGTGAGAGTGAACAGTTGCCTGTCTTTGTGTTAGCTCTGATTGGCTAGTGACTTGTCCGAGGTGTACCCCATCTCTTTCCCTGCTTGCCCAATGACAGCTGAATTGGGTAAGTGGAAAGAAATCGATGTACGTTATCTGTTATCTCTACTTTAAACCTGCAGTTTATTGATAACCGATCCAATATAGTTATTTCATCATCTGGAGTGTTTTCGGTTAATTCCTATTACTCTGGGTTTATTCTACTTCTTCCCCAAATCAACTGTCATTCTACCGGCTCTTTGATTTTTACACTCTAGCCTCATGATTCATTTGTTAAATCAAATTAGGGCTGCCTGATTTGTGCTTTGAAATCAAGAACTTGCCTCACTCTTTTTTTTAGATTAATTGGGTCTCCCACTGGCAACAATTATCAGCCATTAGCAGCGAGTGCAAATACTGCATTTGCAATTACTGTGTTTTGTGTGACATGAAAGGTCGTGCAGCCCGTCCTCTGGGAGCCGATGCAGACATTGGGCTGTACTGCACATACATCGCTGACGCTGTGAGACGGGAGTTTCAGATTTTTACCCTTTAGGTTGAATATGTTTTTCTGTGCTTGACTTCTGTCTTGCCCTTGATGCAGGCTGAGCAGTGAGCAGTGCAGCACACCATGGCAGAGCCAGACCCAGACACAATCTTCTCTGGCGCAGGGCAGCGCCTCGGAGCTCCGGAGACCCTTGGCATCAGTACGTTAGATCCCGGGCACAGACCTCCGGCCATGCCCCCCGGACGACACGTCACCGTCAGGGTCCGTATGCTGGATGACACAGAGGAGCTTTTCGACATCTCGGTGAGTCATTATCGTTTTTCTTGTTGTTGAACAGGACTTTTCATTATCGCACCGTGGCCAAGAAGCATTTCCCCGATTCCAGCTGCAGTCTGGTAACAGGTTGGCATGGTAACTGCATGTTGAATGAAACTGGATGGATCTTAGTAATGTCAGGGTTCCTCCAGTTTATTGTGGGTTATTCAATTTCTGCTCACTCTTTCCTAATCTCCCAAAGTGTTTCAAATCTGCTCTACAGCTGTCGCTATTACTACACCACAATTATTCTTCTGCTGCCAGGGTTCTCAAAACGCAGCTCACGGGCCAGAGGTGGTCCTTGGATGACAAGGAAAGGATGCACGATTCTACAGCTCACTCATGGAGAGTTCATGCCCATGCTATGATGTTGCACGACTGAACGAGACCAAGAGAGAGAAGCAGAGCAAAGCATCCCTGTTCTTAAAGCTTTCCAAACACTGGTGTTATCTTAGATAATTTAATGAAAGCAGATAGGTACAGACGAGAGAGACACGAATATATCTTATTTGTCTTGTTTGAGCTCCCATTCGAATTCCATTCTTGACTTTAGGATTTAGAGGATTAACGTTCTCATCACATGGCTCTAAATTTGGACACAGTATGCGAAGGCGGATGTGCTAAAATTAGACACTAATTGCTAAGTGCCTTCTACTATCTGGTCACAATGCTTAAAATGCAAAAAATAAAAAAAAGTAAAAACATATGTTCATTGTGTAGAGGAGAAAGAGAAAATACTGGTATTTGTCTGAGGATAGAGTAGAACAACGAGCTTCATTCTGTGACCAGAAGCGTTTCCTCCCAAAACAGTGGAGCGAGATGAGTAGATAGTGAAAAGTAGTGATGGAGGGAAACAGATACAGCAGCAGCCACACAGGACCTGTTTAATGTGTATGAATTGACCCCGGCAGTGAAGTTGCTGAGCTTTACTGACAGTTAGTGCGTGTGCATTGCAGGGTGGTTGTGTCCTTTTGGCTGTTTCCCAAGGCAGTGTGGGTAAATGCAGTTCCTTAGGCAGTGCATGACTCTTAATCTTTCTAGAGGTGTCATATGTTCTTCTAATACTTAACGCTCACTAGGTTCCCCCCAGTGAAATCCTGTTTAATTGCACACTTGTTTATGTCTACTTTTTTTTTTGTACTAGTTTTTCTCACGCTAGTTTGTCAACTGCAATATCATCCAGCCGGTGATGCTTAAATTTGATATGAGTCTAGAGCAGGAGTGGAAGGGATTTTTTTTTGCAGTCCGCTTCAGGGCTTGCAATCTGTGGAAAACCTGCAATGGGAAACTCCGCTTACAAAGGTGATCTCAACCTCAGAGTTTAATACATTTTTTATGACGTTTCAGTGTCCCAAAGCTGTGTTTAACACTACTCTAATCGCCAAGGAGTACACACGCTGACACTTTGGATCTTCGGTGGTGAAAAAGAACATTAAACGACTAAATACTGTGCACTACAAGAAATATATGTAAGTGACCCTTTTTGCAAGGCCCTAAAATGTCCTTCATTATGTAGCTGAGTGGTTGTGATGGTGAGTTTGCAACGTTTTCTCGCCAAGCTGGCCTGAAACAAGCTGAGGCTGCGAATCAGGGGAGGGTAACAAAAGGCTCTCGCTAACAGAAAGCTTTATTCATGCTCAATTTAACACACATTATATCCTTTATCACAAGTCAGTACTTGAGATAAAAAGCTCTGTGGCCTGAATGTTGTTTTTTGCCCAGAGGTATCAACAGAGAAGATATTTATCTCAGTCACTGGCTTGCATTCAGGGTGGAAAGATCTATTATAAAAAAAAATATATATATATATATGTATAGATATGTATAGACACATATACATACACACACATCTATTTATTTACTATGTACATATAGTTCAGTGAGTATGTTGAGCTTCTAAAAACAAAAGGTTACTTTATTTTCGAATTGCCAAGCAGTGTATACACTGATCAGTCACAACATTAAAATCATTGGAATTTAATAATATTATTTATCTCATTACATTGCAATGTTTAACTGGGAAATCTTGGGTGATTGGGGTTCACGTGGGTATTATTTTGACATCTATCGCATTTCTAATGGTTCTTATGCAGCTCCTCTTACCAGTGGCACTCCCTGATGGCAGCAGTCTCCCACAGCAGGACAGTTTACTCCACCCCACAGCAAAATTGGTTCACGAATTACTCGAGAAGTGTGACAAAGAACCGAAAGCTCACTTGATCCGGCCTCCAAACTCCCCACATCCCAATCAGATCAAGCATCCACTTGAACGAGCCCAGTTCACGGAGTCCCCATTCCACACTCCACAGGACTCAAAGCACCAGCTGCCCACGTCCTCACAGGACACCAAAGGCTCCAAGTCCACGGCCCAATGAGTCAGAACCAGATTTAGCAGCATGAGGCAGACCTTTAAAACCTTAGAAAGGAGTTTTTACTGGAGTTGAGGTAAAGCAATTTTAAAGCACATTTAGTTGCCTGAAGCGAGTTGCTTTCTTTCAGCAGTAATTACAATTTGTTTCACCAAGTCGCAACCCAACTATCCCTGAGATACAGAAGACATATGTCAACTTTGTACACACTGTGCTGATGTTAATCTCTTCCCCGCAGCAGTGAAGTGAGATAGCTGCATGGTCTACAAAACACATCTGTCAAGCAATTATCCAGTCTTTTATTTCACAACAGGAACATGCAGCATTGTTCAGGAAGAGGCAACTCATCTCAGATGATTTTATTGTCAAAGTGATTCAAGGCAGGAATTTTTTTGGGGGGGGGGGCGTCTCTTTAAGAAAACATAAAATGTCTAACCTCACCCTGTTACTGATACCGAAGGCTTCAGTTCCCGTTCCTCTGTTTGAGAGGGGTAAGTTTCCACCTCAGCGGGCAGAGTATCAGATGGTTGAGAAACAAAAAGGGGCCACAGAGCCTTCTCATGGGTCGCATACCATGCTGTGGCCTAGTTAGCACTCTGGCTGTGAACACTTGTGTTGATGCTGATAAAGTCTGGCTGCAAAAACCTGGACAGCGGTAGACTGGCCTCCTGAAACATGACTAAAATCTAGTCCATCGTTTTTGTTTAATTCCAAAAAAAGCAGAAGATTGAAGATAAAGTCGTTTTGGTTTAGATTCAGTGGGGCAGGAGGACAGACTGCCGTCTGGCCTTGCGTTCCTCGGGCTAACATACGCCGACACCGTGTGTACTGATGTTTTGATGCTTATGTTTGCTGATGGCTGGTGGAAGCTCTGCAGATTTTGTCCGTGAAGAGTGTTATTGCAGCATGCATTTAGCAGTTGGCATGTGGGGGAAGGGATGATGAAGGCAGAGTGGAGGAGAGTTATGTTCATTCCTGTGAATGAATGAAGGAGTTCAAATCCATCGGGCCAAACCTTTCTGCTAGAATAGCATCAGGTACAACCTTATATGGAATACATCTAATCTGATTCTGATTTAGCAAAACATTAGAAATTCAGACACATACCATCTCTCTCTCTCTTTCTATCATATTGCACTCCTACTGCTGGTCTTCCTCTCTCACTATAATGAGCCACTGAGGACTGCAGTCTGTCCTCTCCTGCCTTCACTTCACTTTGTCCATTACAGCCACAGCCCCTGTTAAAAGTCTACCTGCTGAGGCAAATCCTGAATTAATTAAATACAAACCTCTTAATCTCTATGCATTTTAATTCGCTTTCCATATGCGGTTTTTACTGCAATACTTTTTCTTTCCTAATAACTAATAACATCAACAGTACATACAGGCTTAGATTAAACCACGGCGTGCTTCTTATTCAAGCTAAGCATCACGCAAAACTGCTGAATAGACATGTTGTTCTTGTTCCCCAGTGGATGAATACTTCTTATATTACGATCACCTGAATTCCACTCAGTCACCTCAGCTTCAAAGTATTCACTTAATCTGTGAGTATTGGAACAGTTACTACAGACTGCCACTATGTTGGTGTTATTTGCTAATTTGCCAGTAAGCTGTGCGTTATCTGGGCAATTTCAATAGGCATGCTAGAAGTCTAGTTCAGTCTTGGTATTTTTACACATTACATCCTTAACAGATTCTGGCCCATATTGACATGATAGCATCACATAATCGCTGCAGTGTTTTTGGCTACACATGCATGATGAGAATCTCTTGTTCCACTACATCCCAGATGGGTTTACTTGGATGCTTTCATATTCAAGAAACCAGTTTAGGGTGATTTGGTCTTTGCGATCTGGATAGATCCATTACTACAAATTCTGATCCTTCCACTTGAAGGTCACAGCAGAAATGTAAGTTTTTCTTTTCTTCTATTGTCCAATTTTGCATTATAGACTCAGTTTTCTGTTCTTTGCTGAAATGAGTAGCATCTCGTGTGGTCTTCTGCTGCTGTACCAGATCGGTGTGCTCTTCTGCATACCTTGGTTGTAACACTTGGTTATTTGAGTTACTGTTGCCTTCCTATCAGCTCAAAGCAGTCTTGGCATTTTCCCCTTGACCTCTGACATCAATAAGGCATTTCCACCTGGAGAACTGCTGCTCACTGGATAGTTTCTGTTTTTTTGGACCACTCCCACACAGCCAGATGGTTGTGTGGGAGAATCCCAGCAGATCAGCAGTTTCTGAAAAACTCAGACCAGCCTGTCTGGCACCGTTAACCATGCCACATTCACGTTCGCCTTTCATCTCCATTCTGATGCTCGGTTTGAACTTCAGTAAGCCGCCTTCACCATGTTTACATACCCAAATGCATTGAACTGCAGCCATGTGATTGGCTGACTAGATATTTGCTTGACTGAGCAGTTGGACAAGTGTACCTAATAAAGTAGCCAGTGAATGTAGATTTACTGTCAAGGTCAAACCAATTCTATGATAATGTAACTGAACACCTTATCCAACATTGCACCGAGATCCACTGATCAGGGAATCAGTTGCTGTTACAGATTTCACACTCAAGGCGTAAAGCAGATGGCAACCTTGCCATGGAATAAACTTCTT